CCCCCATGATGCTGTCGGATGGGAAGTAACATTGATGCATTTGGTCGGTTTGCCATCGCCACAAAACAAGACGCACGGGGCAGGTTGGCCATGTCGGCAGAGCAATTCATGTCCAGGGACGGACTTGTGCGAGACGCAGCCTGCCGCAGGGAGGGAAGGGCAGTCTGATTCGTTGACGGCGGTGTGTTTTGTGCGCTGCACGTTGTGGTCCAACCAGTTCATGGTGGATTGGAGCAGTTGTGAACGCGTTATACGTTGCATCGTGTAGTTGCCTGGTGCATGATGGATGTGGTTATTATTTATCATGGATAGTTGAGTCAGTGTTGTCAGGGTTGCCAAAGTGCGGAAAATGACAGCTCATGATTTGAGCTCCGAATATGCTTTTGCTTGTTTTGCCATAGCAGACGAATGCCGGGTCGGTTCGTCGCCAATACAGTGATTGGCAAAAAGCATTCATGTTTAGTAGGAAAACACGTTCTGCCATGCATTAGTTGGATGAATTGTCCGCGTGTTAACCGTTCAAGGCCGCCGCGACTGTGCATGACTTTGTAGGAACAGTGCCATTCAAACAGCTCGCCACACATTGTAATAAAGAGAATTCATTCACAATCAAGACCATAGATACACTTTAAGCCTATACTAGACTATCCTCATTGTTTTTAAATCTTGGCGTGGCGAATGTTGGCACCCGGCTGGGCCGTCTGTGTGCCGTACTTCTTCATCAAACTTGCCGTCTTCTCCCGTTGCCACTGAATCTTCTGCGTCGCCTCCTTGCCACGCTTGTTTTCATTTCGGCCCATCTGTTGCAGGTGCACCTCGTCAGGGCCATCAGCCAGCCTCAACGTTCGGATCCCAGCCCACGAGTTGGCAAGTGGTGTATCCTGGCAGACGCCGGCACCGCCAAAGGACTGAACAGCGCGATCAATGACAGTCAGCGCCGTCTGGGGGACGAGGACCTTGGCCTGGGCGATTTCTTTGAGGGCCTTCTTGGGACCCAGAAGGTCCATCTTGTGCGCGGCGTTGAGGACAATTAGACGCGCAGAATCGATTTCGATGCGGGACTTGGCAATCCATTCCAGGATGACGCCGTGCTCGCGGAGGAGCTTTCCAAAGGGCTTTTTGCGATCGTCGTTGACACGCATGAGCATCCAGTCGAGAGCGACCTCGGACTAAAAGGCTTGTCAGTTCCCAAATTCATTAACAAGGGTGGCAGGGCAGGGTGGAGAAGATGGAAATATAAAAACGTACAGCGCCAATACTTCTCATGGCGTGATGGATTCTGCCGGGTCCCAAACGACCCTGAATAATCTCGAAACCTCGCCCCTCTCCAAGCACCATGTTGCCCACCGGAACCCTGACGTTGGTAAAGGTCAAGTGTCCGTGGCCGTGAGGCGCATCATCATACCCGTAGACCTTGAGCATCCTGTTAATCTTAATGCCGGGCGTATCGGCAGGCACCAGCACCACGCTCTGCTGCCTATACGGATCCTTATTCGCCTTGTCGGTCTTGCCCATGACAATGTAGATTTTGCAGCGAGGATCGCCAGCACCGCTAGACCACCACTTTTGTCCGTTGAGCACGTACTCGTTGCCCTCGCGCTTGATGTCCAACTCAATGTTGGTAGCATCTGACGAAGCAACCTGGGGCTCCGTCATAAGGAAGGCAGAGCGAATTTTGCCATCCATGAGAGGCTTGAGCCACTGCTGCTTCTGGGCGTCGTTGCCATACTTGGCGAGGACTTCCATGTTGCCCGTATCGGGAGCAGCGCAGTTGCACGCCTCAGAAGCACTTCGTGAGCGGCCGAGCCACTCGGCCATGATGCCGTACTCGAGATTAGTCCATCCAGGGGATTCCTTGTAATGGCCCTTGGGCAGGAACATGTTCCAAAGACCGAGCTTCTTGGCCTTTTCCTTGAGTTCCTCAATGATGGCCGGGTGGTTTTCCCACCGATCATCACCTTGACCGACCTGGGCCTCCAAGACTGGGTCAGCCCTGCAGCATAGTCAGTTGAAGCTGAAGCTAAATGTGGTCGTGACCATGGGTAACATGTTGGGGTCTCACGGGATGCACTCTTCCTCGACAAACTTGGCCACCACATCAATCATCCTTTTAGCCTCATCGCTCACCAAATGTGAGACCTGCATAGGTCAGCATCGTAAGTCGAGGAAGTGGAATCGATCTTGTCCAATGAACAGCAGCACCTACGACAGCCGGGATTTTATCAGACATGTCTGCAACTTCGGTCACACCACAGTGAAGTAAACGTAAAAGTGTATCAAGACAGCCAGCCTAGCAACGAGGCTACTTGACGTCAATCAGAATGACAGGAGTCGGAAACCCCGGGGTAGAGTGGGTTATGGTAGATGGGCTCTGCGGAAACAAACAGGTCCAGGGGGAAAGCTCAAGTGTCAAAGCTACCAAACGGCTTGGATTGGCATCCTTAAGTAACGGGAGAGGAGCCGAGGTTCTCTGGCTATTCATCAACGCTACTTCGGTATGGCTGGTGTGGACGCAGGAGTATCGAGCCACTCGGAGCAGGCCGTCCAGAACCGCCCCTAGTCTGGGGAATTGACAGGGATTCCGCTGGATGCCTCGGCCATTGCGGGTCTGCACCAAGCCATTTATTGTCTGCTTCCAGTTACCCTGTAGGATGTTCCGTGCCATCATGCCACATTATGGACGACGAGATATCACTAAGATAAACCGTCTCTGATCCCGTTTACATCACCTGGTCGTCAGTCATTCCACCATGAACCCCTCGTATGATTTTCCAAGTTTGTAGCCGAGGATATGGAGCTGATTCCCGTTTGGGTCAACATCCCGGTGTATTGACTGACATTTGTCACCCGCACTACATACCTCGTCTATCACCTGTCGAGATAAATACATTCTAATCAACTCTATGCAATGCGTGAAGCCTGGAAAGCGATTTCCACATTTCAATCGATGGCAACACCTAATTAAACCCCGAACTCGAAAAAGCAGTGCATAACAAGTCAGGACGAGACAACAGAGCAGACAGGAGGATGGACCAGAAAAAAAAAAGGGAAGTGAAAATATTCATGAGACACCCAAAACAAAAATGAACCTTCGACACCCAGTGTTCCACACCCATGACGAGTCGCGAAACAAGATGCCCTCTTCAGGTCCGGATATGCTGCTTTAGACACGTTCTGACACATATCCCCATTACGCTTCCACCCATTGATATCATTCATGTCCTCTTAACAGGCACAACCATCACGGTCGTTGTCGATGTGGATGTTGATAGGGTCGTCGAATTCGCCGCTAAACTCCTCCGACTCTTCTTGTGCGAGAGCGTTCCGGGCAATGACTGTCTTTCATTAGTACATATATCACCCTTGTTTGTGGAGTGGGATCCTACCCTCGAAAGCCTGGTCAATATTGATGGCCTCCTTGGCGCTAGTCTCAAAATACGGGATATCCCCTTTGGACTGGCAAAAGGTCATGGCGCGCTTGTTTGAAATCTACTACATGTTAGGCTTCATCCATTCAGAACAGGAGAAGTCGTCATATCATACCACTCGTTTGCTCTCCTCCACATCAATCTTGTTTCCGAGAACAACCTACGCAGGGTAAGCCAACGTCCCACAACACCACGCCCAAAACAGAACTTACAAATGGAAAGTTGGGAGGATCCCGTGGTGAGGCTTGGATCAGAAACTCGTCCCTCCAGCTGTCAAGAGCCTCGAAGCTCTTGGCATTGTTTACGTCGTACACGAGAACACAGCAGTCAGCACCACGGTAGAACGCGACTCCTAACGACTGAAATCGCTCCTGTCCAGCAGTATCCCAAAGCTATTGCGCATTAGCAATTGATGTTGTCGGTCCTGGATGATAGCCCGCCCAACCTACCTGCATTGTGACTTGTCTGTCGTCCACCATGACCTCTCGTGTTAAAAAGTCGGCGCCGATGGTAGCCTTGTAGCTCGCACTAAACTTCTTCTTGACCTGTATCCCACCATTACCCATCAGTATACTCTGCGTAGTTGTTGTGCCGGAGGGGCGGGGGGTTTGGTAGTCGAACATATTGATTCATCAAGCTCGTCTTGCCGACACCGCTATCTCCAAGGATGATAACCTGCATCCCGTCAGTGTCCGTCTGTACGCCAAGGCTTCGACATCACCAAGGAGCCCATCCGGCCATACCTTGAGGAGGACCTTCTTCCGCGAAGACATGTTGGCAGTCGTGATGTATGGACGCTAGTGGTGAGGATGTAGGAGTCGTCAATGAGGTGATGGACGAGGAGCGTTTCAGCGCTCACGCGGCGAGGGGGGAAAGCAGCTCGCGAGCTCGTCTCGATTGGGCAGTAGGCGGCTGTTGAGTAGATGTGCTCCTTTCGCAGCAGGTACAATGGAATAAAGTTGTTGGGGTAGGTTTACGGAGTGTCCAGGCGTCGCTGAGCACGAGACCCTGCAGCAAGGCGGTAACTTGATGCGAATGCGTGAGAGAGGAGTGGTAGAGGAGTGGTTGTTTGAGGCGGCGACTGGACGCTGAGGCTGGCGGTGGAAGGCGGATGGACCAGTCAAGTAGCTCGAGTCTACAGAGTACTGACCAGCAGACACACTGACTGCAACCACGGGTTACTTTTATGAATGACAGGGGTCTAACGTCAGCTTCTGTTACGACCCAGGCAGGTCTAAAAGTAAGTAAAGGTCAACTCAAGGACTCCTTGTCCGTCGATTGCCCACCAAGGTGCTCTCAACTGGTCAGTGCTGGTGGCTGGTGCCTCAAATGGAGCCCGTGTGACCTATGCAGTGGGTAGTGCCGCCACCAGAGTGACATCAACACTGAACTTCCACCCGGTTGACTCTAGCTAAACCCGGCCTGCATCAAGCCGTCACCATCCGCCAATCTGCTACAATCCACGAATTGACGACAACGCTGAACAACAACAGCCTCCAAAAGCCCACACGATACCACTGAGCCGGCATTGAAGCTCCCTCTGACCGCCATGAACTCTTCATAGCACCAACCATGGCCTCCACCACCTCACCCATCGTCTCGAAAATCCTCCATCTATCAGACCTCGAGCTTGCCCTCCTCCTCTGTCTCATCTCCCGCGAACACGGCATAATAACCACTCCCTCCGCCTCTCTATCCCTCCTCACCACCGAACTCTGCCTCGTAGCAACCCGTACCTTTGGGCTTACCTGCTCCATCGTCGACTGTACGCCCTCCACAACCCTCGACGACTTCGCATCCGCTCTCCTCCTGCCGCCCAAATCCACCCAACAACCCCAACAACCAGATTACTTTGCCCACGGCCCACGGCGAAGCGTACACGCATCTCCGCTCTTGTCAAGCTCTCAAATCGCAAACTGCATCCTCGCCAAGAATCTTAACCTGGCGCCCAAGTCTGTCCAGATTCAGGCTCTCGAATTACTTCGTACACGACGCATATTTACACGGACTTCAGTGCAGACTGCCCCCAAGCAGTTCATCTTTATACCCGTGTTGGAAGCAGAGGCTCCCGGAAAAGGAGAGCGAGTAACACCACACTTGAACGACTTCTTTTCGTTGGCGCATTGGCATGATCCCGACCAGGGGTTTGTGAATATCGACGAGGAAGACGAGGTGGAGCGGGGATCGGCGGAGAGCGTGAATCGACGGAATGACAGTAATTCGGCCTTGGTACCAGAGAGCGTACGGCTTGCTTCGCAAATTCCTCTTGAGAGCAAGGTGCTAACAGGGCGTGCAGGAAATCAGCCATCTCGCACAACTCAGTCAACAAGTCCAAGTTGACATCGAGGTGACCCGTTATCAAATGAATATTGTATCCTTCTTACGCATGCACCGTGCCGTAGCAGACGGCATAACTCCTAATGCAACAAAACATCTCGACAAGTTGATGCGGTGTCTTGCCCCCCTTCATGGAGTAGACTTCGTGGCACCTGCACTTGTGGGTCTTGCTGTCAAGAAGGTATATTTACACCGGATACGAATTACGTCTCCAGAGGATGAGCGTAGCATGCAATGGGGCAGCAAGTTGGAGGCCGTAGCGGCTATATTAGCAGACATGGGACCCGAGGAAGTGGTAGAAGATGTTTTAGGTATGGTGACGGCACCGATATGACCGGTCCTCTTGGTATATTGGAAATTTCTATGCCTCTTGTCGCGCCTCTTTTCTTTACAACGGTCAGTTCGTTTGCAACTGTACCACCAAAATTTCCCATGATCTTGATTCTTGCCGCGATCATAACGGCTCTCTCATGACGTTTCCTCTTTGAAGCCCCCTGCCCGATTTTGAAATAAGACGTCATACACACTCTTCCATGGTCCATGTTGGAAAAGGATTACACAATGATTAAAACGTTAAAAGACTTCATAAACGCCGTGCCCGAAGCTCTTTCTATGAGATTTGCTTGATATTGCATGACCATCCAGAACCGGCTTCCAAGAGAGGCAAACTACGCAGTGTTAGTACCAAATAAAGTATCCTTCCCAGGGATATTTGACATACCTAGCACCCAGGCACCAACCCAGCTCGTTGCCCTTAATTTTCTTGGCAATCTTGACCTCTCTATCAATAGGCATGTCGTATCCGTGATGCAGAAGTACGGTCATAAAGTTCAAGTCTAGACAGTACTGCTCACGACCCTTGAGCTCCTCAAGAGCACCAGGAACGCTGTCAAAAGTGCCCCAGCCCGTTTGGCCCTTGCAGACAGTCTGCGCTAGGTCGTGAAGCTCACGGATGGTGAAGGAGTCGGGCATGCCGAGGGGGTGGGTGCGGTCGTAAAAGTAGGAGAAGATATAAACATCCTCCTTGGCAAAGGTCTTTGCGAGAGATGGCTGGTGAACACCGTTGAACGAGCAGGGAGCGAGCTTACATTCCTTGTCCTTTTCGAGGATTCGTTCGGCGAGGCTGCGGCATTGTGAGGCGTGCGAAGCGGAGGGCTCGGCGGGACCAGTGAAGTTGTACGTCTTCTTAGTATCCTTGTCGAATTCGACTTCGATCTCGCGAGTGCGGCCGGGGGTAATACAAGGGTGTACGATTGGCTTGGTTTGCCACGTGGTGTCATCTTCCTTGGACTTCTTCATGTCGTTTACAAGGAGCCGGTGAATGGCGTTGCGGGCCTCCATCAGACCATAGCCCAAGTGAGAATGCTGGTACAGATCGAACTTCTGGCCGCCAAAGTCAAGAGAGAACTTGTGGTCGCCCTCGGCAAGCTTCTCAGGCATGCCACCAGCCTTGGCCTCCTTAAAGGTAGGCTGGAAAACAATCTGAGTCGAGCCGCCACCGAGATCGAAAACAGCAGCAGTCTCACTCTTATCAGGACCACCAATTTTGCCGAGAAGGTAGTTGGTCGTGATCCATGCGTAGACACCCTCATCGGCGCCATCCATGACAGAAACGCCACCTTTTTCATCGGAGACAACAGGGAAAGGATAGTCTTTCTCAAGGTGTTCGCGCACCTGCTTGAGGATAGCGTCGGACTTCTGGGGTCCAACCTTGCGCAAACCGGCGGTGGCCTTGACGGCGACGGGGCTGCATCGCTTGAGCTTCTCGGGGACGTTCTCCATGGCGACAGCCATCAGGGGATCCAGAGTTTTGGCGGCGGCGATAGGGTCGTCGGCGTACTTGCTGAGACCTCCGACAGATTTCTCCGTCATCTTGAACTCTTCGCTCTCAAGCTCGGGAACAGGACCGCAGTTGTTGAACTTGTACACATGGATTCTGGAGCCAGTGCTGCCAGCATCAATCATGAGGACATACTGAACAATCGGCTTATCCTTGGAGTAGGACTTGGCACACCGAGTGGTTCCGTAGGATGAGTCGGTAGGTACCTGGCCATCGTTGGGTTTGTTGACCTCAGGGGTATTGCTCGTGGTGCCGGTCTTGTGGCCAGTATTGTGAGAAACTGCAAAAAGTCATATCGTTAGCGAATGCTTTCCTGCTACCGCAAAATAGTCTAATACGCACCCTCACTGCGGACGTCAACACCTCTCGGTGACAGCCAGTAGAACAGCAGACAAACGGACAAGACAATTGCAGCAGTCTTGACCCATCGAGTCTTTTGCGACTGTGACATCCACTGTTCCTTCATCCTCGCAAAAACACCCTGAGGACGACCGTTTCCGTATCGATCAGGCTTCTCGTGAGGGTCGTGAACGGTGTGTTTCGTCGGCAGCGAGACCGACTGCTTTCGCATGAGGGATGATTTGCGTTGGTGGCACGCAAGTCCGTCTTGACTCTCGCCCTTCAATCGAGAAAGCGAGCAACTTGACGCAAAAAATGCAACGATTGAAACGTGTGTAACGAGTGGCACGTATGCAAGCTAAGGAAGAGTAAGCCGCAGGCGACTTATTGGAGGGAGTGTAACGAAGAGAAAACGGCAGTCAATCACTGGGTGAGAGGAGGAAAAAAGTGCCACGCAAGACAAAAATAGCTGGGCGAAAAAGGGATGACAGCCACACTTCCATCGACGGGTATGTGGATGGTCGACGACGGCAACGATGGGTGGGTAAGGATAAAAGGGGATCTGGGCTGTCTTGGGGGGTGGGGGGGGAGAGGAGCCTAGATGGCGAATGTGCAGACGCAAACCAGACTCCACCAGTTTGCGTCGACCCTTGTCCAAGCAATATGTAAACTAATTAAAAGCCACTAGTAGTACTAGTACTTGACTACATACTTCAGTACATATGTACTATTACCGGACTCCTTATCACTGAGTAGACCAGGCTGGACGTTAAGTGGAATAGGGGCTTCAACATTCAATATTGCCCGGCACCAATCCATATCGAGGCGACGCATCCAACACTTGTTCGAATTAGTGCAGCAATTCCTATTCATCATCGTGGACATGAACTGGTTCATGCCTTCCTCATACAACCTAGCGGCCGGGCTCTGAAACACACTGAAGGCTGATCCGCTGTATGTGGGGGTCAGTAAAGTAGATTGGGACATCATCATTCAAGCGGAAATGCCAACTCAAGGTCTTCTTGGTAAGTTGAAACGTCGGTTTTTTCATAGCTGCGTGTGATAAAAGGAGTTATTCCCTCACTAAAAAGTACAGCGTCTTACAACTCCCCATCACCCACTTCCTTATCTTCAACAACAAAATAGTCCCTGACTGTCACCTTGCCGCTGTTCACCTTCTCCCAAACCTCAGGCGTACAAGTCTCAGGCGCCAGGATGTAGCACTTGGGCTCGGGCGCCTTGGGAGCAGCCTGCTTAACATGCCAGGTGTCCGGAGGGCCGACAGTCGACAACTCGTCGTGTACAGGCAACAAGCCAGTGGGGATATCGCGGTTGAACAATGCACGCATGAAGATTTCATACGCAGCCTCGGGCTGATACACGGGGATCATGTGTCCAGCCTGATAGACACGAGTAAAGCTGAAGTTGCCAAACTGGCGGGTAAGCCCGCCCACGCCTTCAGACGTAATCAAGGGGGTGTACCCAGCCTTCTTGAAATCCTCTGCGCGCGAGTAAGGGATGGCAAGAGATGACATTTCTCCTCCGATCCAGTTGCAGGCGAAGTCGCGATCTCCATACATCATGTGCACCTTAACACCCGAGTCGAGAAGGTAGCCAACTGCGTCCAAGAATCCGCCGTGAATCTCATCCAAGGTGGCGAAAAAGTTCAGGGCGACGGTCTGTGATGACATAGTAAAGTTGACAGGACTGCCAAGGGCTCCGAGGGCCTTTTCTTGAGCGAGGTAGCCGATGTAGTGTGGAGGCGGGAATGGGTCATTCTTGGGGTGCGAGATGTCGAAACGAGCATTGTTGCTATTTTCGAAAGCCATTTCGCCGCTCATCGCGCACGCTTCTTCCATCTTTGGGCATAGTTCTGAGGGGAAGTCTCGGGCCACTCTGAGCGCATTCTTGTCGATGCCAACAAGCTCCTTCTGGCACTGAATGATTTGGTCACGACAACCACCCTCGCGGGTAAAGTTGTGCATTAGCCCATCATAGACAGTCTTGTTGATGGCCTTGATATCATAAGTCTATGAGGTTGTTAGTATATCCATACACCACGGGTCGTTGGTGGTACCAGACTGTGCCTACATTGTTAAAAGGGAAGATGATGGACGCCTCTTCCTGGATAACGGCGTCAAGGTAGCCATTGACGATGCCCAGAGTATCAAGATGAAGATAGTGTGCGTGTTCCACATCAATAGTTCCATTGAGAATCTTTTCATTCTGCTGCTGGAAGAAGCGCATGAATCCAGGCCCATAATGGCCGCCGTAGCTCTCAGCCCACATACTGATTCGGTCATCATTCGGCTTGTAATGAGGGAATTCAGTGAAGAAGGTCTGGGCAAAGTGCCACAATGCATGGGCAGCCTGCTGGGTGCTGTTGGTGGTGTGAGACGACTTTTGACTGGAAAGAGTGCCAATTCGTGTTGTAAGGTTGGTCTGAGGTGTTTCGGTCGAAAAGTTGGTGGGAACAATGATGGCCTCTTCACTGCCAGAGTATACGGTCACATTGGTGGGAATGTCGTATGAGAAGCCGACTTGATTAGGCTCATCAATGTAGAGCATGTTGACATAGTTATTCCAGCTCCAAGGATTGTGAATTGTGGACTTGGAATCGTCACCAATGAAACAAGGACCGTTCTCGCCCAAAAGACCGATCATGGAAGAGCCACCAGGGCCCCCGTTGAGCCAAATGGCCAGCGGAGCATTTTCCGGTTCATGACGAGCCTCAAAAAACCAAAAGAATCTACACATTATGAGATTCAATGCATTGCATAAATTTCCACTCCTTAATACAAACTTACGTGTTGACGGGATAATCCTGCTTCTCGCCCGAACCATCATCCAATAAACCTGGGGGAAGGTGGACGTGGCCAGCGTAGGATTTGACGCCCGGTGTGGACTCACAAAGCCCCGGCTACAAGGTTTGCGGTTATTAGCCATTTGATTGATCCATATACAGAAGATAGGCCCGGTCTCACCTCTTTGAATGAAATGGTCACGTTCTCGTGAAGCTTGGATTTGACGACCTTGACGCCCTCAGAAGGAGGTGGGAACTGGGCGGCAGCCAGACTGGCCAGACCGCCAAGCAGGAGACCTGTAGAAAGCATCTTTCTTGTTTGTGGCTAAATAAATCAACAGATTACAAAAATCATAGCGTGTGAAATCGAGGGGAGTCCTAATGTTCCTTAAATTGCCCAAGTCGAAGAAACCAGCGTCTTCATCCCGGGAGTCGTACCCCCGCTGTCTCGACTCTCTACATGTATTGACGGCGCCATCCCCACGCACCTTGTTGGCCACGGTGACCACAGTACATTGGAGCAGGCCTAGCAGGGAGTAGACAGTGGCTTCTGGACCTGCCCTTCAAGGAATGCCGCCGGGGATGGTACCCGATAGGCGTTTACAGCGAGTAAAGTAACTCACTACGCGGGGTGGTGTATTTCCGGACAGGGTATGGCGGCTCGAAGTCGCCGAGTCGGAATTACCAGACCCATTCAGAGCAAAGCCGTGGCTGTGACAACTTTTGGAGGCTAAAACTACGTACTTTGCAAGTTAATTTATTCTTACACGCTCGGCCGCCGATAGTCGTCAGATTTTTTTATCCAGACAATAAAAGTGTAGCCCAAGTTAAAGCAGACCTTCGCAGTGTTTCTGGGCGGTGCACGCGACGACGCAGTTCCGGGGCGACGACCATGGCAAGCCTGGAGTTTCAAATCATCGGAGTCGGAGTAGGAGCATTCAGATTTGGGCGCTAAACGAGGACACGTCCACTCCAGAAGCTTCGGTTCACGTACGCGATGTTGCCTGGCCTTCAAACCCTCATATCAGCAGCTGCCTCCCGCGACACCCGCAAAGTCAAACAAAATGCATAGAGATTAACCTACCAGAAGTAATTCAAAAGACCTGATCACTTACCTACCAGACATCTGGCCCAACACAAAAGCATGGATGTCCAACTGCTGGTATACGACCTCTCCCGCGGATTGGCCCGGCAAATGTCCATGGGCTTACTAGGCTTCCAACTCGATGCCATATACCACACCTCAATCCAGCTCAATGACCGCGAGTACGTTTATGACGGCGGCATCATTGCCATCACACCGGGGTCATCTCACCTGGGTCAGCCATTGGAGAAGATTCACCTGGGGACCACCAATCTGCCGTGGGACATAATCGACGAGTACCTGGATTCATTGCGGCCTATATTCACATTAGAGGTAGGTTACAACGACAGCTGCAGTAGCAATCATTTTTTCCTGACTAGCATTGTCCAGGCATATGATCTCTTCCGTCATAATTGCAACAATTTCAGCGACTCCTTTGCCAACTTTCTTGTCGGCAGAGGCATTCCCAGTCACATTGTCAACATGCCACAGGCCGTATTAGATTCACCCATGGGCCGCATGTTACTACCTCAGTTGACTCAAGGAATAAATGCAGGCCGATCAAATGGATCTATCCTCGGCCTGGAGCAAAGTGCTCAGGTTTCCAGCAGCGGATCAAGGCCGCACGGAGTCAAGGTTGTTTCTAGATTAGACGAGCTCACGCGCCTGCTGGACGGCGCAAGAGACTCATGCGCCATAGTGTTTTTCACCTCTGCTACTTGTCCGCCATGCAAGATGATGTATCCGCTATATGACCGTCTAGCGGAAGAGTTTGGTACCCAAGTCACGTTTATCAAGGCAGACATCTCTCAACCCCAATCCCTGGGTATTTCGCACAATTTCTCCGTCCGAGCAACACCAACCTTTGTTACCATGCTCAAAGGCAAGGAGGAGAATAGATGGAGCGGAGCTAGCCAAACAACTCTGCGAAATAACATCCAACTTCTTGTACACATGGCACATCCATCTCATCCGCACGAGAATCTACGACTACCCAGCTTCTCCGATCCGAATCCCCGGCCTGTTCTCTATTCGAAAGTGCCCCCAATGGCAAAGTTGGAAGCGAAGATGGGCGACGTTGCCAAAAAACCGCAGATTCAGAAGCTCAAATCTTTCTTGGAAGCGCGCAGTAACTTGGGTCCCCAAGATGCCGTTCTTCCTGACCTTGAGGAGCTGTCAGATTGCATCCGGGAGTCGGTTTCGCAACTTCCTCCCGAGGTCCTGTTCGCAGTTATTGACCTCTTCCGATGCGCGCTGTCAGACCCTCGTGTGAGTGCCTACTCCTCCGAAGAAGCAGAACACAAAACCATCAAGACCGTCTTGAATTCTGTCAACAGTTTAGGCTCTTGTCCATACGCCCTGCGCCTAGTAACAATCCAGATGGCATGCAACATGTTTTCCACGCCGCTATTTGCGCACGAAGTTCTACAGCATGCCAGCCTACGTTCTGCGCTCGTACAACTAGTAACCACTAGTTTCCTAGATGATGCCCACAACAATATACGAGTGGCGTCGGCATCACTCCTCTTCAACATAGCCCTGGCTGGCCGTCGAGAAAGAGACAGAGATTCTAGCGCTGGTCTCCCCGAAGAGGATCAAGTAGAGTTGGCTGCTGCGCTGCTCGAGGCTATCGCGCAGGAGGACAAGTCGGCAGAAGCACTGCAAGGCATGCTCTCTGCTCTGGGCCATCTGGTGTTCGGCATCAGTTTAGGCGGTGAGCTGGCTGATCTTTTGAGAGCATTAGACGCGCAAGGAACCATATTGGCCAAGACGAAGCTCTTCCCTAACGAGCAGCTTATACTAGAAGTTGGAGAGGAGCTGCTGGGTAAAGGGCTACGGAAACAATAATGATAGATGAGAGTACGAGTGGCGCGTTTGGGCCATGAGTGTTTCACCAAGTGTTCTTAGTCTGAATGGGGTTGCCAGACTTCAGTTACTATTGTGTTACTTGACGCGTGATTCTAAGCTGAATGTGCCAGTTTAGTATTCAGGAAGGAGTCACTCGTGTGTGTGCCCAACGACCGCTTACCTCTTTTCTCCCCCTGCGTCTTGCGCATACTGACAATCCCAAGCTTGCTGCCTGGACTCTTTCTACTTGGATTCGACATCGGAAAACACCTTATTTTATCCTGTTAACACAACGACATCTACCAGAGTTAGGTATTTCAACATCATGCTACCTAAATTCGCAATCATCATGGCAAGCTATCTTGCCAACGTGGCCCCCGCATATCCAGCCTCCCGCGCCGTCAACGAGATAGAATACCCCTCGTGCGGAGGCCTCACGGACAAACCCCACGAGTGCAATACGCAGTCGATATGCATGGATGACCCTCGAGAGCCGAACAGCTGCGGCATGGCATGCGATGTTCCTGGTATTTGCATCCCCAGGAATGCGGCAACTTGTCAGACAGGGACAGAGACGTGCCCGCAGGGGCAAAAGTGTTTTGGGGATTTGAGGTTCAAGTGTAAGGGGAATAATTGTCACGGACTGTGCTTGTATCCAAAGGGGGATGGTTCTGTGTAAGGATTGAGAGGTTGCTCGGGGGAGTCTAGATCGAAGACGAGGCTTCGGGGTGCGTGAGTTGAAAACTTCCGTCATAGACGCTACGATATCCTAGAAGTTTTGCAACCTACGGAGTACAGTGGACCGCCTCACATGAACTGGCTGGCACGTGTTTGTTTTGGTCCTATGTATTGGTACTCGGCCTTGAAGACGTGCGAATTTTAGTTATATTCGAACTGAATACTGTCCTGGACTTCAAAAACGTTTGGGAAACACGACGCGTGAATCAGCGGCACACAGCAGTACTGGTGCAATTTTTCAGTCCACCACCAGCGAACCAATCAGGGCAAGAGCAGGGAATCCACCAACCTAGGGCAGCCTAGCGCGGTCCACATCCATCTTTCTATATCTTCCCGTGCATCCGCTCAAAGTTTTCTCTCTTTTTCTTCCTTTCTTCTTCATCAAAAAGCTATCTGAGCTGCCACGACCTTCACCTAGACCTCCCACGGTGTCGCGTTGCCTTTCCCCAACGGGGAAGCGCTCAGAAGAGTAAAACCCTTGGATATAGGAAATTTTCCGCAAGATCGTTTTCGGACGAAGCAGTAGGCGGAACAATGCCAAGAAGGGGGGACATCTCTTTGATGAAAAGTAAAGTGATTCTTTTGTAGACGTGACGGCTGGCGAACACGCGACTGAGATTGGGCCAAGCTATATATCATGGACTCGGGCTTGCGTCTTGAAACCAAATCGCATCAAGGCCGGGCCGGATTCTTGGAAATGCGAAATGGACGTTGCAATTGAACACCTGAGATTCATGTCTTGGAGAGGCGTGATGGATGACGGTGCTCGTACATTTGCTCTAGCTGCACGCTAATCAATCCTGCGCTACTGCACTCAAATCGCCTCCTGGCATCTTGCTCCGATGCTGGTCTCGAACAAATTCTTCAATCTTGTGGTCGTGATGAGGCCTGTCGGGCGGACCAGGGATGTCCTCCCGTTCTTCTCCAGGCGACTTCTCTTTGGGCGCCAGAACCTTGCCTGCGGCCGGAATGAACTCGGCAACTGCACTTGTTAGGTGACTTTTAAAGTCAACTAGAGGGGTGTATGGGAACACATTGCCTACTCTTTTCCACGATCGGATTCGGTTTTGGATCTTGGTCTCGCTCTCGCTGGTCCACAGCCGCTTTGTCTAGCTGGGTCTTGAAATTCTCTTGTTGAGCGTTGGAGTCGTTACTAGACGCCATTTTGAGCACGCAGACTCACTATTTAGTTACAATGACAATAATGAGAGTGTGAAAAGTGTAATTCAAAATGAAGAGCGTGACACTGATTCATATATCCCGATCAATGGTCAATACGGAGTAACAAGGCGGGCTATGCAACTACATGACGTCAAGTCCGTTGGCGTTTCAACCCCCCATTTTCTCCTCCGTAACAACTAGTAACTGCCTTCGATACAACGTGGGGTTGATAAGATAAGCAGCCAGAATCTCCCAACCTTCAATCTCGGGGGGAGAGAAAAGCATTCGATCTAACAAGCAGCGCACGCCCTGCAATCCCGCGCCGTCACCCGCGATTCTTCCACACGAGTCGTCTCTAGCTGGCTGGGGAAAATGGCGCCGATTCCAATCACCATCATTACCGGGTTCCTCGGCTCCGGCAAAACGACCCTCATCCTCAACCTCATGCCGCAACTCCGCGCCAAGAACCCAGCCTACAAGCTAGCCCTCCTCAAGAACGAATTCGGCGACCTCGCAATCGATTCGCAACTCGCCTCGTCCTCGGCGATATCGGGCGTGCAGGAGATGCTCAACGGGTGCATATGCTGCAACCTCGTGGGCCAGCTGGGTCCCGCGCTGGAAGAACTCGCCCGGACAGTCACGCCCGACCGCATCGTCATCGAGACCAGTGGCTCAGCGTTCCCCGCGACGCTGGCGCTGGAAGTGAACCGCCTGGCGAGAGACGCGGGGCGGTACCAACTAGACGGCGTGATAAGCGTAATCGACGTAGAGAACTGGCAGGGGTACGAAGACACAAGCTACACGGCCAAGATTCAGGCGCGCTACACAGATCTGATTGTGTTCAACAAGTGGGAGACGGCGGGGGAGGACAGGTACGAGGAGTGCGTCGACAGGGTGGGCGACCTGGAGGTTGACGTGGCGAGGGTCAAGAGCGACAAGGGGTGGGTTGGCATGAATCTGGTGTTTGGCGTGGACGGCGGGCTGGCGAGGGACTTGACCGAGACGGACATGGAGCTCGGGGTCAACGGAGGGCAGCACGACCACGATCACGGCGGGCAGACCAACGGCCATTCCCACAGCCACCAGAACGAAGTCGAAGTGCTGTCGGTTGAGCTCGCGGCCCCCTCGGCAGCCACGTCCACCCCCAAGCTCCTCGCGTTCCTGCGGGCCGCCCCGAAGGACGAGGTGTACCGCATCAAGGCCGTCGCCACGCTGTCGTCGGCTCCTGAGAACTCGGATGCCGATGCGCCCCGGCCAGGAGGCCCCCCTGGCGGCCGGTACATTCTCAACTGGGCGTTTGGCCGGTGGACGTTTACGCCCGTAGGGCAGGGGCAGCAGGAGCACCCGTCCAGCAGGGACGTGACGCTGCGGATGACTGTCATTCTGGCACGGCACGAGGGCAACAGGTGGAGGAAGAAGCTGGAGGCCGGTGGGTATCTGGAGGCCGAGGGCGTGAATAAGGGCGAGCTGAGCGTCAAGCGCATCCTGTAGACTAGATGATAGACGTGATGATAGACATGGCTGGGCTAGAGTTATACGTTGCATAGAAACGAAAGGCCGGTTTGATACGCCGATGGGTACGATTACGACTCTACGTACGCGCGTTTGTTTATCATTCGAAGCTGAAAGCACTTGATTATCTTGTTTTATTATTAGAAAAGGAAAATAAAAAAAAGAAACGAAACAAAATACAAAATACACAAATTCCCCCTGCCCAAGGTTTGTCCACCATACATCACCAATATACTACATTATAAATACGACGCGCTTTCCCTGCACCGAACCATAGTGCTTCCAGGTCATATTTCTCTCATCAGCTTCTATACCCACCCTAGGTTTGTTATTCTAGCAACCGAATCATGCGGTAGATTCTCAATCCTCAAGCCATATGGAAACCCATCTCGCCCCTCTGCTACCCTCCATTTGGCAATGGCCTTTTCCTCCTTGCTCATTGACACCTTCTGCTGGTAACCCCAACACCTCTCTCCGTGTCCGACGCATATTCTCTCTCCCCCAACACATCTCTCCCCGGGTTTAGCATCTTCTTTCTGGTGTGTAGCACATCTCTCCTCGCGTGCAGCAAATTTGTTCCCGTATCCCATACATCTCACCTCGTGTCCAGCACATCTCTCTTTGGAGGGAATACACCCCGTCTCGTGTCCAACGCCCAGCTTCTTACTCAACTTCCCAAATTTAACCAGCAGCCGAATCCCTTCTTGAAACTCTTTTGAAGTTCGGCCTTTTTGAGCGTCTGTTTCTCCAATTCTCTTTTTTTCTTCCCTTCTCTCCTCTTCTTCCTTTCTCTTTATTTCTTCGTGAGATTCAAGGCATTTCCTACACAAGCTTTCCATCCCATTTACCGACCCCTTGTCCATTTCAACCATCCCCAAGTGTTCACCCGATGTGTGCATGGGCAGGGTCCCGGCTGCTGGTAAACTGTATTTGCTAATTATCGTTCGGGGCGGGGGCCTCTTTTGAGATATCGGTTCGCTCTCATCCGATGTCCTCCTCGACGTCGACCAGCCGCCTATCTGCTTGCCCCCCGAAGTTCTGCTGGTTCTGGGCTTCGGATAATATCGCTCTTGAGACGCTCGTGAACTGGCCCTTCGGCTCGCCGCAGAAGGCGGTCTCGTTCCTTTATTCGACCTCCTAGCCGAGTTCCGCACACTCGAACTGCAGGTCGTCGTCGTGCTTGTACGCTGCGACAGTCCCCTATCCGACCTTAATTCACTGTCCGTGGTTGTTGTACTTGAGCTGTGCCGGGTGTACCGAAGCGGCGCACACCGATACGACGCACTGTTGATGCCCTTGGCGAATGTGGTATTCGTAGCCGGCGGCGAGGCGAATTGGTCCATGTCAGCCAGGCTGTAGTGAGCCCCTGGTTTCCCGACTGGCCTTGACATGGGACGCGGGCTATATTCTCCCGCAACACTAAATGCGGACTCCCTACTCGGTCCCTTCGATGTGGGATCCGTACCAAGTGGCGCCGTGTTGTAAACACTTTCAGGAAAAGTCTTATGCCGTGGAAATCCCCGACGCTGGGAGAAACTAGGGTGTTTTTGGCCGAGACCTGGTGGGATGCTTGCCGTCTCTTGTTCAGAAAAGTCTCCTTGCGGTGCTTCATCACACTGTGAATTCCTTCCCGAATAGGGGATATCATCTTCCCACATGGAATCTCTCTCCGTTGGCAGTCCCAAGAGTGCTTCTGCTGGTTTGCCTGTGTTGCCACCATCACGATATCTACTCGACCCACGCCGCTTCATCAAAAAAATATTCACTCCATCATGTTGCTCAGGTTCCACCTGTTCATTAAACATCCCCTGATGCGGTTGCTCTGTAGGTTGCATATTTGTGTCGTCGACGAGTACCATTTTGACCGGGCTTGTGAGGTTGGGAGAGGATGGGCGCTCGTGCGTAGTGTTGAAGTGCGGCCATACTGTATTGGAAGGCATTTTGATGACATGATGCAGGAGAAGAGAAAATCACGTTAACCTGCTATCCTTGGGGAGATGTAAATGTGGCCTTCAAGGAGCTCTTTGTTTCATCATCGAATGAGGGAACAAGGGGAATGGAGGTCAACCAAGGCGATCAATGTGAATGGGTGTTATGATGTGTTTTTTTTTTTTAAAAAAAAACATTCTTTTTCTTCTTTTCCCAAGCTGATTCTTTGTCATTGGTGTGAGTGAGCAGGTATGAGGTGTGAAACCTGGTAACAAAGGATGCTTGTAGTGAATATCGTCAATTTTTAGTCTAACAAAGGGGGAATAAAATAATTTCTTTGCATCGTGTCTCAGCGCTCTGCTACATTACAAAGAACCAGAATAAAGAGCTGCAAATCCTAAAAGTATGCAACAAATGCGTTGGCGCAATTCGCAAATGATCTAAAGACTCACTGTGACCGTCATGTTGTTGCTGAGTACCATCAACGTAGGCGGCAGGTCGTTGCAGAGAAGTTCAACATCAGAAAGATACTGGATTGTAGAGATTTCGTCAAGACTAGTGCCTTCTGAAGGAATGGGCAGCGTTGTCATCAAGACGCCCGTGTCTTTGGAATGCTGTCGCATGAGTTCGTTGAGAATCAAGTGCTGCGCTCGACTAGGCAAATCATTGAATGAGAGCGCAACACCGTGTCCCGAGGTGGCTGACCCGCCATCTGCCTCGGTGCTCTTTTTTGGTGCATGACTTGCGGATGGTTCAGAACGCTCTGGGATAACAAGGTTGGCTGGGTCCTGATAATGCACAGAATATTGCGAGCCGTGTCTCGAGTGATGTCGTGAGTGGGAACCCGAATGCGCTCGGGACGGTGGCTGAGATGCTGGCTGATGTGCAAATGAAATTGTTCTTGCGCCTTCTTCGCCGCTGACTTTAGTATCAGGCAACGGACGACTAGAAAACTTGCCGAGCGAGGATTGTCTCGAAAACGCTGGTCGTTCAGCTCGTGGCGTCGGGGGGTTTGATGCAGCCGGCGCGAAACTAATCTTGGAGCCTTCGCCTTCGGCGATAATCTTGGTTTCAGGCACTGGTCGACTAGAGAATCGAGCAGCAGATGACTGTCGCGAAAAGTTCGGTCTCGTTGGTGTAACGGTTCCATCTCGAATGACGTCCCTCGAAGGGCTCATAGAGCGTGATCGCCGAGAACCATCCTGCGGAAATTTTGGAACTTGAAGAGGATCCAAGATAGGGAAAGAGTCGATCTTAACGCTGGTCTCTGCCTCTGGTGGGCTCGCGACGATTTCAGCAACTTCAGGGACATGCAATGTTGCCGAGGATTCGGGATTGTCTGCCAACGTCTGAGACGTATTCATAGTGCCATATGAGGGGATTTGAGCGCTCGACTCGATGGCTCCCAACCTTCTTCCTCGCCCAGACGTTGTTGGCGACTGCTCCGTTGCAGCACCACTGTCCTGCGAAGATTGGAGCAATAGACGCAGTGTTGGATTTCCCAATTCATCTCTCGAGCCCCAAAAAAGGTCCCTAGAACCTACTTCGAATTCTTCATCGTCAGTAGAGCCCTCCACGTCTGTATCAAATTCGGTGTCTGATTCGGGCTCATGCAGAACTTCTTCATTGATATGGGTAGTGTGAATTCCCATGCTGACTCCGAGTTTGGAGAGCGTGGCGATGCCCGGCTTCCTGTGCATTTCTACAAATTCAGCCATACTGTGACGTCGCATATTCCCTGCATCGTCGTGTGGATTATATGCACCAGGTCGCCCATTTGTCGAGTCCAAAAACTGGGCCAGTTGCGAAAGCTCTTCGCTCGAGGAAAGCTCTTCGGTCTGTGTGCGAAGTATCTGCAAGTCCTCCCACCATTCCTCATCCTTGAGGGCTTCGCAAACAATGATTTCGGCATCAATATCATTGGTGTTTCCGTTAACAATAAGTTCATACGTGTTGAGATGGCCAGAGGCCAAGTAGAAGACGAGGACTTGCGCATCAATTCGCAATTTCTCTAGGAGAGCTTTGACTCTAGCACTCTCCTCCTCGACTTCATGCTCATACTCTACAAATACCAAAACACGTAGGGCAAACGCCCTTCGCCAGGCTTGAACGCTACGCAAAATGTGCCCCAGTTGCAAGATAAGGGTATCTGTAAATGTTAGTCTGTACAAGACTTTCTCTTTTTCCTATTGAAACATGATGGGAACTTACAAGTGTCAAAGTTCGTCGTAAGCACATTCTTGCCATCTGAAGATAGTTCAGCAGACATTTGGATGGGCCACAGATCGATGTACTTTTTGGAATTAGACCCATCATGTCGGGGCGTCTCTAGCTTGTCAAATCCATGGGCTATGGCAACATTGAGTCTGTATTTCAAAGCAAGATCCTCTAATATGATCATGTAATCGGTGGGAGATACCATGTCTTCGGTTCGAATAACGTCGGTAGGCAGTGTCCCTTCAAGTAGTCGTGCAGACGTATCTCCGCGCCTACGCTTAGCGACCTTGCCTTGCGACTTTGACGGGCGTCTCATCTTGTCAGATGGCGATGCAGGCACATCCGGGATAGGTACCGCAGGGTTTGATTTCCGCAGGTCATCCATATTATAGAATCCCAAAACAGCAACATTCGGACGCATGCCACCAAGGCCAGCAGCCAGAACCAAGTTGCGTACCCCCCAAGTAATCGAAGGGGACATGGTCAGCTGAACAAAGGCCTTGATCCTTGAAAACTCGGAAATATATCGAGTCCAGGCTTGTTGCTGCAACCGAGCCTCGTGCACGCCAGAGTTGAAATCGTCTGTTACGATAACATGGCCCAGAATGTAAAGAGACCCCTTCTTCATGGAATTGCAAAATTGAATTAACCGCGTCTGGCGCCGGGGGTTATTGATGAGCAGAATGATATGTGGCCGCCAAAACTTGATGTGTTCTGGCTTTAATCGCAGCAAGTACTTTCGCACTTGATGGTAGATGAGATTCTGGGACACATCGCCCCATCGCTTGGGCGGGCATAAGTAATGGATCAGTAGAAACACGAAAATGAGGACACAAATAGCAATTGCTGCGTAGGTCTCATCAATGAAGAACATGGCGGCAGCAGACAGAAGACTACCAATGCAGGCCGTCTGCCAGTTGAAGAACTTGAAACTGGGACGAAAGTTTGGGGCCGACCCAATTTTGAGAAGAAAGCAAGCAAGATTCATAACGAAAAAGGTCATCTGAAAAGTTGTCAGTACCGACCATCATGTCCATCGCGCCAACACTCACCTGATAACCCATGGAGATGAAGGTTGCAATCTGATTCAAATCCGCAAGAAGGGCAATTTGCGCAATGGCATATGTGAGAAAGATAGCAAGGATAGGCTCATCGGCCTTCTTGGTCCCTCTGCCAAAGATGGACAGTCCGGGCAGTAGCTTGTCTCGCGCCAAGGCCTGGAACAATTTCGCAGAACCTATGATGCCCATGAGGGCGGAGAAAAAGGTCACTGCACACTCCCCCGCGAGGACGATTGGCGCTGACAGGTTCGTCAGAGAGATGATGTTGTCGTTTGCGAGGAAGGAATCCCGGGAGATGGTGCAAGCCATGGAGAGAATCACAACAAAATAGACAACAAAGGTTGTTAACATGGCCCACAGTGTGCCTTTTGGTATGGCCTTGCTTGGATTTTTCAAATCCCCAGACATTGACGCACCAGCAAAGATGCCTGACGTGGCGCTGAGAGAAGTTAGCATAGCGATATGCACCGAGAAATGGATATGCGCGTACGGGAACAAAATACCAAACAGGTCTCGAAATGTCGGCAATCCCCGATAGACATGCTTGGAAGAACTCGGCAGAAGATTGTTGACAAAAGTATTGAGACTGAGCCCCGTGTATACAATGCCAGCGTCGTCGTCTCGAAATGGGGCCTTGAAGATGGCAGACAATGGAACACTGAGCACAGCTACCGTCAATATAGCCAACAATAAATTAGACGCCTTTGAAAAAGTAGCTGATCCCAAAAGACACATGCAGGTGCAAGTGACCAATGCTGCCGTCTGCAAGCCATATCCTGCCCAATATCCTCCTGGGAAGCCAGGTCCAACATTGAGGCGAATGCAGTCGATCAAACCAACAATGTTCATGGCAGTGTTGAGAGCTTGGGCTAAGAAGAACAAGATTCCAATGGAGCCTCCGAATTCGGGACCAAGGGATCTCGAGATCAGATAGTATGCTCCGCCTCCCTTGACCTCACCATTGGAAGCAATAGCCGACAGGGACAAGGTGGTCAAGAGATCAACACAGTAGGCAGTGGCCAACAGTCCTAGGCTTGGTCAATAATTCTGTGTTGCAAGAGACAAAGGGAGGGTGTTGGTATACCCAAAATTCCCAGAAATCCAACCTGTCCCAGAATGAGGCCGAACCGCAAAAACATGAGAATGCTCATAATGTTCAAGCATACGGGAATGTACACGCCAGAAAGCAAGCCCAGCTTGGAGCTCTTCCTCGCATCCATGGCCAAAGCCAGAGGGTCACCCTTGTCGTCGGGCGTTGGAGGCATGGCGGGCTTGTATTTGGAAACGAAGGAGAAATGCAACAATGTGATTATCACACTATGGCGCCCTTCACGGCAGCATGTGCTCGCAGGTCGTTGTCGGCCGGTGACTTGGAGACATGACAAGCTCTGCTTGATGCCAGCTCCTCGGCGGTGTGGCGATGATTTGCAAACCAGACTCTCAACGAGAAGAAAATGCAGCCGCGCCCTCTTGTTCCGGCGGGATGCTTCAATGTTGGCAAGGTGAGTCGGGAGTTTGATAAAAGCTAGAGGCCATGAAACGCGGAGATGTTGTCTGTCGCTGACTCTCTGCAGATGACCCGAGGTTGGCCCTCATTCACAATTCGCCGTGGTTTCACGACGGCCGGGATTGCGAGGTCAATTAGCCGTTGTCAACCAGACATTGAATGGTTCAGGCGGAGCAACGCCCACATGTGCACCTACGTCAGACCTGGGGCGCGCCTTCGCCGGCGACGACCGCCAAGGCAGCCGCAACCGTGGCGGTCAATCATCAGCGATCATCAGAGCCTCAGAGGGCTGATGGTCCACATGAATGTCCATGTCGGTTCAATGTTCGTATGGCAACTGGTACAGGCCAACCGTCACCTGTGGAACAATCCCGCGGGACTACAGAGCACTTGGGACCTAAACTCGCTAGATGAAACAAGCACAGCTGCCGGAATACTGTCGACGGGCCTGGATGACATCAATTGATGCCAACATCGTTTGGAACATTGAACGTTGAAGGATCCATGCCGAGAGACCCGGCAGCACTTGAGGTCTGGTACTTAGTAGTTGATTACCTGGTGCTCTCCGGCGCCCGTATCAATGTTAACACCGAGTACTCCACAAGGATCAATTGCCGACCTACATTATGATGGTATTAATATCCCAACGCCAATAGGATCCAGGACAAAGTACTCTTGCTGTTCAATGTGACCCGTCCCCCGCGGCCGGATGCAATCGGACCGTCCAGTCGTGATGAGAAATTGGTGTGCACTCCGTTTAAGCAAGCTGTTGCATCATTTTGCCGCCCCCGGATTCATGCAGCCACTCACATTCCAAGCCACAGCAGCGTTTGGTCTCATGTTCCATCACCTGCTGATGTCCCGGCAAGGGTTTGTGAAGCCATGGTAGACTCGAGGCATGCCTGACCATGGCTACCCAAGTAATCATTGTTGGCGAGCTACAAGATGCGATACCCCGGACTCGACCATGGACAGATGTCTCTCGAATAATAGCAGGTGACAGTCCAAGATACATGCAGAGTTGCTTGACAGTCATACCAAAGCTGCATAGACGAAGGGGCCATGTCGTGCCAATAGTTACAAATCGAGCGTCGTCTGCATTCAACGTGGCGAATGGTTGCAATACGGGTTGCCAGCTTATCATCAGCCAATCCTCTGAGGGGGGCAAAACTCAGTCTCTCCGCATCTTTGTGTTGATGCGATGGGCCACCGCAACGAAGCACCACGTATAGGCTTTTGCGCTGCTGGGCATCATACTTGTAGGTTACCATGCAGCCAGGATGCCGATGAACCTGCTGCATGTGCACCGAGTGTAAAGCGGAAGCCGAGTACTTCATGTATGATGCAGTCCGGTCAAGACCCTCCGTTGTCATGGATTTCGGAGCAATGCAAAGTGAACCAGCTGACTCATCAAACATTGAAATGTCCCGATGTCCAGCCCCAGCACAGTGCTCTCAGAGTGCAAATGTTGCTAAACAGGCACTGGACATTTGGGACATCGACCTTCGAGGACTGGCGAGCTGCCAGAGGAGTCAACTACAAAAAGGCCAAGTGGGATATCACGTCGATATTAATGAGGCCATCAACATTGGCCGACGTCTGGACACTAGGACAAGGGCCAGGGTCCAGGGTCCAGGGTCCTGAGCTCGACGTTTGCTGGCACTGGGACTGCTGTGGCCGTGTGGGCCCAGTCTGGTGCCTCTTGATATCAGTTCGGTTCGACAAGCGTCGACTCAACTGGTCAGGTCAGTCTGGCCCGTTGTTGCTCCCCCCACTAAGCTCCGGTCTCTGGCTCTATCTCTCCGCGCCCACTCCAGTCATTCTCAATCTTCTCAAAGACCCCAGCTTCCCGCGCGCCACCCCCTTCAAGACGCCGACGACGGTCATCCTCTGCCACCACCACACCAACACATTTTCGACTGAGGCTCAATTGGCACAGTCAGCTGAGGCAACGACACGACTATTGCGAGCCCTTTATTTCCGTCCTCCCCAGTCCAAGACGCGCCATCGATAACTTGGCCTTACAACTCCCCTCTGCTGGCGGCCTTGCCACCCCGTTCCTCGCCTTCGTCCTCCGTGCTGTTCACTGACAAACAGGCAACACCTGGCGCGAGATACAATAAGAAACCCGCGCCACCAAATACTCAACATATCCGAATCCTTCCGAGCACTCTGCCGACAAAATGTCTTTGCCCAAGGACACTCTTAATCCGGACCCGGGGCTGTCATCGCCGTTTCCTGGCCAGCCTCGGTCCTTCTCTTCGTCTCTTCCTCGAGAGGAGCTGACTGCTCGTCTTGCTGAGCCCGTTCTCCCAACGCCACCACTTGTTCGAGGAGCTTCTCCCGTTCCCGGAGGTGATGCATTACAAGCGACCGAAGCTCCATTCACCGGCGGAAGCTCTACTCAAGGGCCTGGTGTTTCTGCCTTGGCCGCCGCTCTTTCAAACTCTCTGGGACAGTCACCGCCCCGTCACGGTACGCCCGCGGCTCGAATCAGCTCTCCTCCTCCGCCATCTCAATCTCCTGCCCTTCCCACTCGAGCAGACACGCCTACGCATTATGGCTCCTTGGACTCAAGGTCCCGCCTCGGCCCCGGTTCCGCCACTGGTCCATATGAAGACCACGAAATCGTAAAGCGACACTTGGTGCAGCCTGGTGATGCCGAGAACCCTACTTCAGAAGAGTCGTCTCCCAGGGGAACTATCAAGGGCAAGCAACCCACAGACGTCGGGGCGGGCAAAGTCAATGAAGAAGAATTCTCCAGTTTACAGCTACAAGGCGGCGACGTTACCCGCGGTATTTACAAGTGGACGGAGCAGGCAGAAGCAAAAAGCAAGCTCAATCGCAGCAAAAGTTATGACCACGTGCGACCTGAACCCGAGGAGGAAGTCACGGATATCAGCGCTATCAAGGTTCCTGGCGGATTCAGGCGTGATCACCTACGAAGGCGAGCTTTCAGTCCGAGCGGACAACACGCCGAGCTGGGTAGCAGTGGAGCCGGCTCTCCCGGAACACTTGACCAACCTAGGTTGTTCACGTCGAGTTTCCTCGAATTCCTGTCTATTTATGGCCACTTTGCTGGCGAGGAACTTGAGGAAGATGATGAGAACTTGGGACCAAACGAGATTTGGGACTCTGGAGAAGATCGCGGCGGCGGAGATGAGGAACCGACCGAAGACAGCGCTCTCTTGGGCAAGAAGAAGCGGAAGAGAAAAGCCCGCGGTGGCAGCGGCAAAAACAGTCCCATGAATGCAGCATTGCTGTTACTAAAGTCTTTTGTCGGTACAGGTGTCCTGTTTCTGCCTCGAGCTTACCTCAACGGCGGGATGCTCTTCAGCAATCTTGTGTTGTTGTTTGTGAGCATTCTTAGCTATTATTGTTTTGTTCTCCTAGTGACAACGCGGCTAAACGTCGAGGGCTCGTTTGGCGACATGGGCGGCATATTGTACGGCAAGTGGATGCGCGGTCTGATTTTGAGCTCCATTGTCATCAGCCAGATAGGTTTCGTGGCCGCTTACACTGTGTTTACTGCCCAGAACCTGCAGGCTTTTATTCATGCGGTATCCGACTGCAAGGCGTCAATCACCATCCCGTTGCTTATTCTCATGCAGACGGCCATATTCCTTCCTTTCTCCCTTCTACGTGACATCGGAAAGCTGGGGTTCACAGCCCTCATCGCCGATGCATTCATCATGGTTGGATTGGCGTACCTCTTTTACTACGACATCATTACCCTCAACGCAAATGGTCTGGCAGACATCATCATGTTCAACCAAAAAGACTGGACACTGTTTATTGGAACCGCCATTTTCACTTTTGAAGGCATCGGTCTTATCATCCCTATCCAGGAATCGATGAAGCATCCCACAAAGTTTCCTCGAGTCCTCTTCCTCGTCATGATTATCATTACAGTTCTTTTCACGGTCATGGGAGCTGTTTCATATGCCGCCTATGGATCCAAGACCGAGACCGTTGTTCTGCTCAACCTACCACAGGACGACAAGTTTGTCAATGGAGTACAGTTGCTGTATTCTTGTGCCATTTTACTCTCAACGCCACTACAGATCTTCCCTGCAATTCGCATCATCGAAACGGAGCTGTTTACCCGTAGCGGCAAGTATAATCCTTGGATCAAGTGGAAGAAGAATGTGTTCCGATTTTTCATGGTGATGCTCTGCTCTGCAATTGCCTGGGGAGGTGCTAACCACCTCGACAAGTTTGTCGCCTTGGTTGGCAACTTTGCCTGTATTCCGCTGGTATACATTTATCCTGTGAGTGAAATTTTCCCATAAACACCATTTCTTTACGCAAGTATTAACGTCACGTAGCCCCTTTTGCATTATAAGGCCGTTGCTCGAACCCGGTGGTGGAGAATCTCCGACATTGTTTTATGCATCTTTGGTTTCGTCGCAATGGCATACACGACTGTACTCACTATCATGAGCTGGGCAGCTTCTGCGGCTCCGAGACCAGGATACTGTGATCGAAAGGGTCCGTAGACTCAAAGTGTATGGGATACTGCAGGCAAGAGAAGGCGTTTACCTCGGGCATTTGTGATGGGACTTTTGAGTATGGGCAACTTTGGGGCCTTTTTGGACAGATTGCATACAGAGCCCGTAAGGGTTAGAATTACATGGTAGATACGAGTAGATATTCAACAACATGCGGCTCAGGGCCGGAATTCAAAGCGGTTTTTTTTTTCTCTTTTTTTTTCTGCGGTGTACTCTCCTGGTTTGTCATTGTATGCTGGTTGTACAATGCGTTTCTGCGTTGCCTGTGGGCCGTGGAGAATGACAAGACAGTGGAGACGATCTGTATCATTCAACCTCTGGGATGCTCGGAGACCGAGCTGACCACTGCTGACAATCACATATAACGTCACTCTCATCGACCTTCAATTTCACAAATGTCCCCAAACACCCCATCATGTCAATCCCCATGGCGTTGCGCTCTCCCGCTCGTCTAACGCGTCGCGCCCCCCTCTGGATCACCCGATCATTTGCGACGCGGCAACCTCCTCCGTTCCCCACGGTGTCGTCATGCCCATCTCCAACATGTGGATGCGCTGCTACGCCCGCCATGCCTGAGGGTTTAGACATTGATTTCAAGAGTAATTTGAATGGCGTGATTTCGGGGTATGCGGAACAAGTGCTCGTTTGCACGGGCCGTGATGACTGGACGTCGAGGATAGAGGACGAGTGTGACGGGGACAATTTGGCGGCAGACTTGAAGGAATTGTTCGGTCGAGGGGGGAGGTATAGTGACGTGAGTGCCCTTTCACCTGCCTTCACCGTCGTTTAAATTGTCCTTGTCAATTTTTCCCCTTTACCCGGACCTCTTTCTGCGTGATGGGCGCTAATAAATACAGCCCTTCCACAACATATCCGTCATCAACTCCTCCTTCCCGTCCTCCATACCTCCTCGCTCCGAACTTCACTCCACGTCGGCCTACCTCCTGCCCTCATTCAAGTACATCCCCTTCCTGCCCCGGATCTCTTTTGACAGCGTCGAGGCCCTTGCCAAGGGGTTCTTGCTCCCGGAGAAGCTGCACTCTGCCCACGACGGCCTGTCCCCCGTTCACCGGGACAGGCTGACGCGCAAAGAGGCTTACCAGGGCCTGTTGCCGGGGGTCCAGGACGTCAAGGATGTGTTGGTTCTCATCTGCGGTCATGGGGGGCGAGACGCTAGATGCGGCATCATGGGACCAGTCTTGAGGGACGAGTTTGAACAGAAACTTGCACTGCGGGACTTTGACGTCGTCACTGCCCCGGTGGAGGTGAACCTCGCCTTTGGAAATACAGAGAGGATAGGGGGGGACGTTTCAGGAAAGAGCATTGCTAGAGTGGGATTGATTAGCCATATTGGAGGACACAAATTTGCCGGAAACGTGATTGTGTATGTTCCGCCTGGTTATGAGTTGCAAGGAGGCCGGCCGCATCCGCTTGCAGGATGTGGGATTTGGTACGGGAGGGTTGAACCGAAGCATGTGGAGGGTTTGGTGGAGGAGACTATTTTGAGGGGGAATGTGGTGGAGGATATGTTTAGAGGGGGAATAGATGCGAAGAGGAGGATATTGAGGTTGTGATCACTGATGCATCATGCAGCAGGCTCGGGATGTTAGAATGACGTGTATACTACTCCGTAGAATTTGTACATTAGACTTTTCCATCCTCTTCCTCTAATATCGGGTGACTCGAATGAAATACAGGATATTTCATTTCTCAGTTTGGTGTTGCATCTTTATTAATGCACGTGACCGCCGACGATATCGCGAGCTTCACCTGTCCACACTTGGATTTCGACCAAAAAAAAACCGTACAACAGGACAACACGATGTACAAATGACTTTTTTTCTGTTAGAAATTACCGTCTCGTTTCTTTTCTTGGTCTGAAATAGCTTGCTCTCTTGCATGCTGCCTCTCACAGCATGGCAGCGCACTTCCGCATTATCCTGCGGTCCTCTTGCAAATGGACACCCAAATACAGCTCCATTCAACCACACACACCAATATTACGAATACCCAAACGCTTCCTCTGCACCACTCACACGCGCAAGGAAGCTCGTGCATTTCCATCCATTTTCATCGCCATCGGACTCATAGGCACAGCGGCATACTACGTCCTCGCGCCGACGAGCCACAAAACCCTCAACAGCGATTCATTCATCCCCTACACCATCACCTCCCGCCAGCCCATCTCTCCCACCTCGGCCATCTTCACCATTTCACCGCACCACCACGACCCTTCGCTGCCATACTTGCTCCCCAGTTCACAAGAGTGGAAGTATCCACTTTGGTCGGTCGAGTTCAAGCAGCCCGAGGTCCAAATCGCCCGGCACTACACTCCTCTCCCGCCAACAGACGGGGAAAACACCAAAGATGGCACCCTCAGCTTCTACATTCGCGCTATAGGAGGTGGAGAAATGTCTACCTATCTAAATAGGCTCGGTGTAGGGCGGGACGTCTACCTCCGAGGACCGCACAAGGGATTCGATGTGTTGAAAAGGCTAGGAGACCAGAAGAATGTGGTGTTCCTTGCCGGGGGCACCGGTGTAGTTCCCGGCATGCAGGTTGCCAGGGCCGTTTTGGAGAGAGACGCCACCACGAGCGTAGAGCTGCTATGGGCTGTGCGCAAAAGGGAAGAGCTTCAACAATGTCGTCAGGGTGCTTCTACAAAGCCCTGGTGGAACTTTTGGAGCACTGCTGCGCCGGCCGAGCTGACGGCCGAGGTGGAAGAGCCAAGCGCAATGGGGAAGCAGCTCGCGCGGATGAAGGCCAGGTACGGCCAACGACTTACCATCCGCGTAGCCGTGGACGAGGAACGCACACGGTTCACGGAAAGAGACATTAAAGACGCTCTGGCTGGTGGTGGGCGTGCACTGCCTAGTTCAGGATGCCAACTCCACGATCAATGCCTCCATGTGCACGCGTCTGAGTTTGAAGACCCAGATACCAAGTGCCAGTGTTCTCCTGCTGATAGGCCCGGAAAGAATCTGCTCATGGTTTCCGGCCCAGATGGATTCATTGCATATTACGCTGGAGATAAGAAATGGATCGGGGGAACACTGACGCAGGGGACAGTGGGCGGTGTTGCTGGTGTGTTGCAGAGGAAGAATCCTGCCTTGGCAAACGATTGGCTTGTTTTGAAGCTGTAATCATTCGTCACTTGAACAGACAACATGTGACGCCTCAAATACAACGTAGCCATCGTAACAAACTACAGACAAGTCGAATACAATGTGTACATTATAGAACATGAGTCAATCTAGCACTGCAAGTCAAGCCAAAGAGTATATTAAGCCCCAATGCCGCTAATGCATCAAAACCCCAACGCCACAAATGCGGACCAACGTCACCTACCGATTCTGCACTTTCCTGTACGATGGCGGCTTGATCGCCCTCCTGATGAGTTTCCCTGCATACGGAGGGATCAGGGATATCGCTCCAATAGAAAGGATGCGCCACGCAAAGCCCCTTCAATCACATTAGCAACCCAAGCATACGGCGTCGACGGAGTGAGCTTCACAGGAACGTACCAAGTAATGACGAAACCGAGATCAAAGTATCCTCCCAAGAACGGGATGCTGCCCACAAATACCAAAAAAGTACCCAGAATACTCAAGATCATGACCGGATGCCACGTGGTGATCTCAATGGCAACCATGATGAGCTCGTTCAACACCAGCACCGTATAACTCACAGCCACCATCTTCGGCCCGTCTACTTCGGTCAGAATCTGCGACAGGCCCTGGATCATACCGCCTTGATAGATGGACACAAAGACCCATACAAAAAAGGTGCGGTATGAGAGGGATCGACCCTCGGTAAGTTCCTTGTACAGCTCTGGGTATAGATTGGCCAAGTTTTCGTCGACGTCCTTGTCAAGAACAAGGGACAGAACCGGAGCAGCGGTGTAGATGGTTGCGTAGCCGACGAGAAGCCAGTCCTGAGATGAGTCAGCATGTATCGAGATTAGAGATGGAGGGGGAAAAAATAATGCACACCTTGTATAAGCCTTCAGGTTCGAATTTCCTGGCAATACTGTACATGGTCTGACACACTGCTATAATCAGACCACGATGGATAACAAACTGCGCCAGCTTAGCACTCCTTTTATAACTGTTCCGCCCATGCCACACGAGGAGCTTGACCAAATGATAAAATTGTTCGATTGAGAAATCGGCAGCCAAACTCGCCTGGCGACCCTCCTTGCCGACAATACCGACACCCACATCTGCTGCTTGAATCATCGATACGTCGTTGCCTCCATCCCCGATGCAACAGACTCTCTTCTTGGTGTATTCCTTGATGAGCTTAGCAACCTCAGCTTTTTGTGTGGGCGAGCATCGACATGCTACCACAGTGGGAAGCTGCACGGCAATGGAAATAAAGTCGATTCGGAAATGAGTCATCAGGAGCTGAAGACTTTCGCCGTCAATAAGGAGGCATGCGTCTGTTTTGCCACGCAGGAAATCGAGGTGTTCCTGAGCGCCGTCCTTGCGCTTAAGTTTGGCGACGGTGTAGATGTACTGGCCGCGTGCAACCAGCTTGGAGCTGACAGCCACACAACGAGCTGTTTCTACCTTGTCTCCCGTCAACATCCAAATCTTGATACCAGCGTTGCGAAGAAGCTCTAGTGACGGCTTGACATCTTTTTGTAACTTGTCCTCCACACCAGTGACGCCGAGCAGTTCGAGATGATTTTCGAGGTGGTGCGATACGACGCGTTGAATGCCGGCATCGCGATTTGCAATGGACATGGAAGCCTCTTGGTACTTGGATGAGAACTCTTGATACTGCTGGTACGACAGCTTCTTCCGACCCACAACCAGTGTTCGCAATCCCTCTCTAGCCATATTGGCCGTCTCCTCATCCAGCCAATCGTTGGCGGCGACTATCGTGCCCATGACTGTGTCAGCGCCCTTTTGATAGAACCAAATCTCCCCAGAGCTCAGGCTTGGATTAACATTCTTCACGTCGTCGTGGAAGTGGACAATGATCCCCATGCGCTTGCCATCAGATGTAAATGGGAACACATCGAGAATACGAACACGGACCACTGGTCGTCCTGTTTCTGTTGATTCAAGCGTCATGCCCTTTCTGTCGCGGTATGCCAACTTCAGCCCGACCGACTCTGTCCATTTAACAATGGCGATTTCATCGGGAGATGATGCCTGGTACGATGTGATTTCTTTGCCATCCTCATTATCAACGGTAGGAGTGACATTGTGGCACAGCGCCAGAGCGAGAACCACGTCCCGCACGCGTGCTCCAATCTCACGTCGTGTGCGAGTAGCGCCCACATTGACAGTACTCGAGAAGGTTGAGGATGGCGTAATGAGGACGGTCCGTGACGTTGGGTCTGTTGTAGGCTGAATGTGGAATGCTTGACGAACGTATGATTTGACCTCGTCCATTGCCTCATTCGCATAAGATACAGTCCCGACGTGAACTTTCTTCATCTCCATGTCGTTCTGCGTTAAAGTTCCTGTTTTGTCGCTGAGCAAATACTCGATTCTTCCCAGATCTTCGGGTATGGTGCTGGTTCGTACAACAGCACCTGGAATTCCCGGATCGCGTTGAATGAACCTTGAATACGCACTCTTGCCCATATCGAGGTTGACTCGCAAACTAATAGGGACAATAGTTGAGAACAAAACCAAAAAGCGCATGATTTTAATGTACCACACGTTCCCTGTTGTATTTTCGAACCCTTCCAGAGCAACAAGAACCACCGACAATGCTAGGGTGAGAGCGCACAAGATCTTGGTAAGTGAATTGATTTCGTATTCGAGAAGGCCAGTCTTGGATCGAGACGGGGACGTCGACAAGGCAGACCTTGTCTGTGGCCCAGTATACAAGATCACTGCCAGGGTGGTTCCTTGAGAGGCAATGATTGTGTTGGCCCAAGCCGTATTATCAATTGACAGAGGTGCCGACTTCGAATTACCGTCATGCTTCAACATCGAGTAGTGGCTCGTCGCGTCTTGTCTCGTTGGAAACAGTTCAATAGTGCCCACAAACTCGCCAACCTTCTTGTCAGGCTTCCCTCCTATAACTCTCAGTCGCACAAACTCCTCCGGGGCGATACTCTGCGTCAGAGCCGAGGCCAGCCTCAGCTTCCAGTCTGTCTCACCATCGAGTTGATCGGTTCTAATAAAAGTCTCTCCAGAGCCTCCACCGGCATCACCCTCATCCTTCTGTATCCCTATATCTGGCTCTTTGCCCTTTCCATCGGGCTCATTTTCGCTAAAAGCAAAGAGGGTCTCCTCTTCCGATGGCTCCTTGGTGGGGGTGGATGAGGTAGGTCCCTCCACATTGTAGCATTGCAATATGACTACATCAGCCGGCACTCGTTGTCCTTTGCTGAGTTTGAGAACGTCGCCAACTTTCAGATCCTTGGACTTGCGCATCGCTTCTTGAACGAAAGACGAAGGGTGGTGGGCATTATCTTCCTCCTGAATATCGGTTAAGTCGTGTCGCGATTCCCTTTGCCTTCTTGAACCCCTCTTATTCAATAAATCCGATTTAAGCGGTCGACGGTGCAGTTTACCTGATGCAGGTCGTAAGTCGGGGTCAGAAAACG